TCTTAACAATTAAACTCTGGAGGATGTTTTCTCCCAGGTGTGTTTGTTAAGAACAAACTTTGCTCTAAGAGATTTCTGTAAATGCACTTTGAACAGGCACCTGCCCCCAATCACGCAGCTACCCCCCAAAAACAGATACACATGCTGTCAACAGACCCATCACCTCTAGCTATTCCTTTTACCGAACTTGTAAAGACAAGGATCGCGATGCGTTGAGTACACTAGGGATTTTTATGTCCTTATTTCCCTTCCATGATTTGCACGGGCAATACACAATTAGCCCAAGTCACCTAAGAGGGTAAGGTCATTTCCTTGAAGAATTTCAAGAAAGACTTAAATAACACACTACAGTACATTCGGGACTGGGAAAAAAAAAAAGTCACAGAGCAGAAAAAAAAAACATCCTTAAAAGACAGCTTTGCTGTAATGTGTGAAGCATCAGAAGCACAAAGAAATCAAGCATGAAACCAAATTTCATTTGACTAATTTAATACACACCTTTCATAGCCCCAGATCAAATTAAAAACAACAATCCGTTGACGCATTTTTTCAGGAACCTCCGATCTGTTGTATGATGAGTCTGGCCTATCTCAGCGTGAAACAGAATGATCACACTTGCCTGGTACAGCAACACTAGGAGCATAGATGTGCATGAAGAAGTACACAATTATGGTCTGTTCTTCCCAACAAACTATAAATACAGAAACAAAAAGTAAAAGTGGGATGTGACAGGACTAAAATTTCTCAGTAAAAAATTAAATAATTCTTAATTAAAATATTATAAAAATGCATAAGCTGTTAAGGAACCAGTTAAGTTTTATTCCATGCATCTTTTCAACATGGAATAAACCTTTACTTTTTTCTTTTTCCAATCAGTACTTTTATTGTAAATTCACATGCTCAAAAATTATTTTTAAAGATAAAATTAGTAATTTCTCATTGAGTATCTTAAAGTAAGTCAAAAACTCAAATATGCTACTTGCACAAGTATTCAGACCCCTGTATTCTGGTAGCTAAGTTTACACAGTTGAAAGAAATTGCCATAATGATGATACAATTGCCTTGTACATTGGCCTCTGTCTGTGCAGCACTGAAGTGGCCGTCGCCTTTACTGGATAAAAACTCCAGTCTGTTTAGAGATCACTGGTCAGGCATGAATCTGATGGTATGAAAATAAAGGCTAAAGAGGAAGTTAGAGATAAATATAAAAAAGCCTTGATTAGGAAAAGGCCACAAAAAATATGAACAAGTTTGGATATGCTAGTGAGCACTCTTTGCTCAATAATCAAGAAGTGGAAGCTGCATCACACCACCCAGTCTAGAAAAGGCCGCTCCTCAAAACCCAGCCAAAAGAATGAGACTTGTGAGGGAAGCCATTGAGAGGCCAATCAATCACTTTGAAAGACCTACAGAGTTCCGTGGAGTGGAGTAAAGGTGCATCATTCAACTATCAAGAGTTCTGCATAACACTGGCCTGTATGGGAGGATGGATGAAAGAAGCCACTACTCAAAAAGAACCATCTCAAAACCCTGGAGTTTATCTTACAGCACCAGAGCGATCCAGGAAAAAGGAAAAGGTTTTGTGGTCAGATGAGAACAAGATTGGCCAAAATTCAAAGTGCTATGTGTGAAGCAAACCTAACACAAATGCCCCAGAAAACACTATCCACACAGTGAAGTATGGTGTCAGAAGCAACATGCTGTGTGGATGCTTCCTGTCCCTGCTGCTGAGGAGTCGAGTTGGAATGAAGCAAAGTACAGTGGAAAAACCACAAGGGACCTTGTTTCAGTTTGTTAAAAAACTGATGCTTGGGAGAATAATCACCTTTCAGCAGGACAAGGATGCCAAGCACACAGCCAAAGCAACATTGGAGTGGACCAAGAACAAACAAAACAATGTCCTTGACTGGCTCGATCAAAGCCCCTTCGAGAATCTGTGGCAACATTTGAAAAATGTGGTCCACAAGCGCTGTCCGAAGAAACAAGTGAATAAATAAATGAAAGCGAATGAGTTGGAGCAAAGCTGCCAAGAAAATGGGCAAACATCACTCCTAACCAGTGTGCGAGGACAGTAGACTGAATATAATTCGTTACACTGTGGCTGTGTTGTGTGTTAAGCTGCTGTTGCACTGCAATTTCACTCACAGGATCAATAAAGTATCTATCTAGACACCTAACCCAAAAGACTTAAAGCTGTAATGTGTTAAAAGGTGGATCAAACAAATATTAATATGTGGGGTCTGAATACTTATGCAGGTAGCATATTTCAGTTTTTGATATGAAGATATCTGCTGGCAATTAATTTTGTCTTTAAAAGAGACCAAATATTTTTGCAAGGCACTGTACAGTAACTTTTGTATGTAACATATCAAAACAAAATTAGGTATGAATAACTGTGCCTCTTCTCTCCAGGCCACTGGATCTAGGAAGCCAAGAGGAAGAAACCAGAAATGCAAAGATTCTTACTAGCATACTGCACGGACGTGGCTTAGAAGATAAGTAGGCGATGAAGGCTTTAAACATCAGGTGCATGACAGACATTTGTTCAAGCCCCTGTTGTTTCAGAGCCTCCTTTCAAATCTTACAGACATCTTACTACAGACCCCTTCCTCACAAACATGGTATCTCTCCACTGTCTGGCTCATCTGTGTGTGTGAACTCTAGAGAATACCAGCACCACAAAGCTTAACATTTACATTACGCCACTTGTTAATTACAAAGTTTTTGGTTAAATAATGAACAAACTCTGAAACGGTTTCAATGGGAGTTAGGAAATTATAAATAAAGTACAGAAACCCCTACAGCAAGAAATGAGAAAGACAATATTGACAAATGCAAAAGGCCATCTCTTCTCAATGGAAATTTCTGCCACACCTGATTAAATATGCTGTTCAGAACAGAAAAGGCACTTTATATTTGCAGCTTGAATGGATTTACATCAGGTCTCACAAGCTTGGATGTTTCTTTTGAATATATTTGGAAAAATAAAAAATACACATTAAAATGAACATTATTTTCATTTGCAGTGTCATTTTGTAGCAGTGATAATTAGAGTTGCTGACCCTTATGCTGCTCCTTATGAGATAGTAAAGAGAATCATTACATTACAATAATTAAAACAAGTCTCCTTAATTCACCTCTATGATCAAATCTATATTTAGGCTTCAAAGCAATGGAGCCTTTTGTGGCTGTTCAGATTGTTTTCTTCCCACTTTTAAAACTGAAGATCAGGGAGCTAAGCAGCCTAGTACTAAGAATGCGTAGAGGGATAGATAAGCAATTAGATTTGTGACAAAAACGGTGTCCTGCGTCAACTAAGATGTCAGCCTCATCCATATATTATAATAATCCTTAATACTAATCCTTAACCCTTATCCTTTCAAAATGTTATTAAGCGGATATCACTAATCAATTGAAAATTTGCTAAGGTTTTATGGCCACAACAGATTATAAACTGTGCAACATATCATGCAAACTGCACCTGATTAAAACAATTTAGCCAAATATATAGGTACAATTAAAGTACCGTCAGGCAGAATACATGTTGAAGTGCTATTCCTGTTTGAACCAAGATGAACACCTGACTAGCATTTCTTTCTCTTCATTGTCAATATGTGGCCTCTAACACTAAACACTAGTGTAAAAAAAAAACATTTGGCCTTTTAACTCCAAACCTATTAAGTATTGAATTCACATCTGATGCAGAGGTGTCCCAGCACAATAATAATAATAATAATAATAATAATAATAATAATAATAATAATAATAATAATTAATAATTTCTTATGCTTATATAGCGCTTTTTTGGACAGTCCACTCATGTATTGGGGACTCTCCTCCACCACCACCAATGTGCAGCATCTAACTGGATGATGCGACAGTAGCCATAGTGCATCTTCTTAATGGACAAAAGATGGAAAGTACAGATAAAGGGTAAATGCTTTGACAGGGGTAATCTAATTAGTTGAGTACCCCAGGGATCTGCATTAAAACCCCTGCTCTTCCCAATTTATAGTGATAACAGGTTCTGACACAGTAAACTCGTCATGCTTGCAAACAATATCAAACTAACAGGATGACAATAATTGTAGTGCAGTGTTGTACATTCAGGAACCAAAGACAAACTGCAGACACAAAATGGAAAATTAAACTTGAAGAGGCTAAAAATGAAAAAGGCTAAAGTGTTTGTGTAAAAATGTCAATTATATCTTCTAGACAATGTAAACTTTAGGATATACAAGTGAAAAGTGTCTAATTTAAGGGATGTTATGATAAAATTCTACAAATTTAAATGCACTGGTAAAACCTCTTTTAGAACATATTGTTGGACACATGTTGGACATAACACAACAAAATTACATTGCTTGTCTGGAATCAGTCCAGAGAAGACTAACCAGATACATTCCCAGGCTCAAAGTAGTCCTACAGTAACAGTCAAAAAGAACTAAATCACTGTAGACTTGGACAGAGGCGACCACAAGGGGATTTGATTGAAATATTCAAATGTTTCATGAAACATCTGGATGAGATCCTCAGATCAATTAGCTCTGAACAATCCATCAGCCTAGTGAACCAGATGTTTCTTCTTGTTTTAAACATGATATGATTTTTTCTCAAAGCTCAAACTGATCTGAAGGTTATTAAAGTAATACAGAGAGATGAACAGAAAAGGCTACAAAACAATACAATAGATTGGGTAATTCAGTAATCAAACAGAACAATGAAGACTATTTGCAAAGGACAAAACATATGCACTAGTTAAGCACCAGAAGATACTTTGAGGACAAAGAAGTTCAAGGACACCTAAGAATGTGTGGTAATAATATTGTGGTATAAAACCATTAGGTGATTCTAAGCACATTTTGTTTTCCTGTAAAAATGATTTTCACACTGGGTAAAAAAAAAACTCATTTGCCTAACCTAAGACCATTTTCTTTATATTTAAGCTACTCATAGAAATGGGTCTTTACAAATCAAATGTTCATTTGAAAAGGACATACCTTTAATATTGTTGAGTATCTCCTTCAGGTGGCTGAAACTGTTCAGTAGTGGATCTTGTTCTTCATCCTAGATAGTGACCACAAAAAATGATGAAAGACACTGAAAATTACGGTACTATTCATGCCACCTTTGACCATGTTTTAGGTGTGCAGATATTGTAAAATATTTAGATTTGTTAAATCTTGGCATATAATGAGATGATTATCAATACAAATGCTAATAATAAAAACTAGAGCGGTAAACATTGAACCACAGAACACTATTCTTTTTTTTTTTATTCCAGACTTTTAGCCAGTCGAAGGTTTGCCCCTTGTGCAGATAATGCTGAATTAAACGCTGAAAAGATATGTTTCTTCTCCTTTCCACACAGTCATATTATTGTAATATTTTCTAGTTTCAGATGTTGCATCTTTAAATTGTAAGGTTCATGCACTTTTACTTTTAATAGTATGGACATTATCCAATAGCTAGTTCAATGCTCAGCTGTGGACCCTACATGCCATTTCTCCACTGTCACCAGGTTATCTTCCACTGCTTTTATGCCAGCACAGGACTGAACAAGCAAAACTGAAGCCACACATGAAAATGCAGATTGGAAAAACCCTGAAGTGCAAGTTCTCAATACATAACTCATGTACATGAAACACTGGACAAACACAAACAACATAACAGCACACTTTGTTTAGATACTCAGATTTTTCTGCAGTTTTATTCAAAGCAATATAATGGAAACCATTTTTTTTCTTTTTGTGAACAGAATTTGAAGAACTACGAGTGCATAATTTTTGTCTGCCTTTTCAGCACTGATGACCATTTAGATGTAAAACCATGAAAAAAGCTAAAGGAATTGATTCACCTAAATATAACAGGGAACGTGAATGATCCAAAAAACAATGTGTCGGTGCAAAAATCAGGATGATACAATTAATGGAGTACCACAGGGATCCAAACTAGGATCAATGCTCTTGTTAATTCCTAAAACAGCAGATTATAAAGTAAAAGGATTACTGAACACTGTAGAAAAAGTAAAGAAAAAATGATCTGGACTAAATTCAAGACTTGGCAAACACCTGAGAGATTAAATTTAATGTAGACAAGTGTAGTGTTTCATGCAAGTAGGAAGAACAAATTATAAATAAAACATAGGGGCACAAGGTATTTGAAGAAGCTACTTCAGAATAAGCCTTGAGCGTTTATGTTGACACACCATTTACAACCTCTAGGCAATGTGTGGAAGCAATAAAAAAGTCAAACAATGTTCAGATTGATAAAAGTGTAGAATTTAAATCAAGGAATGTTAACACGTATGCAGTACACTGGCATGAGCTCATTTATAATATTGTGCACATTTTTAGTCACCACATTACAAAAAGTGTTGCTGCTCAAAAATCAGTTCAGATAGGCAACCAGATACCTTCCCTGGTTTAAGGAATGTACTACACTAACAAGCTGAAGAAACTAAGTGTTTTTAATCTTGAACGGAGAAAACTGTATGAGGAGACCTTATTTAAGTACTCAACATCTTCAAAGTCATAATCAATAATAAAACATGAACCAGTAGACAAGTGGTACTGTACTTAAAAAAGGAAAAAGGCAATTTGCTGCACTGTACATATATATATTTTCAGAAAATGTTGGCCATGAAGAGTGAACTATTACCCAAGGAATCTATAAGGGAGAGACACTGCACATGAAGCACAATATAGAAGCTTTTCTATATTCATCTTCTTGACTCCAACTGAGATTTTAGTAATAGCTCTGTTCAAATCTGTGATTAACAACCTGGGTGTCAAACATACTTATATGATTATAACATACAAAATGGTCTTACCAGAGGTGTATGGGTGCTCCATCTGGAATTCCGTTTGATGGCACCAACAACAGAACAGATCTCTCCTTGAACAATATATATGTTCTTGTCCACCATAATGATTTCTAAAGAAGAACATGAAATAGTTATTGCTACAAAAGAATGATTAAATTGAACTTAAATTCTGATAATGTCATTTAATACAGTCGTACCGCTCAGCAACCCCTATCATCGACCTCTTTCTCAGAAAAAGTCTTACGAACATGGGGACAACAAGTGGTGTCACAGGGGCGACCAATGAGGGGACCCCATGCCCCTAAAAAAAATGGTCTGCAAAGAAGTCTTCAGAATCGAAATCAGAAGAAATCAATCTTAGCCGAATTTGTGAGTGGTTGCTGTACAAAACACAGACCAGTTAGGATTTGCAAACAGTAGTGACATCCTGAAACAATGATTATGTATGAAGTAGCCGTACTATGCTTGCCTGCCTTATGATAATAGGATTAACGTCTTAGTTGACCACTAATAGCAAATAAATCATACACACTATGATATAATACAATAAGACCTTGCCGAAACAAGTGTTAGCTCAATACTGGATAAACTTCATGCAGATAAGCAAGCTTCAGAAACTCATGAAACAAAAGGACCAAAACATGATGCAATATAAGGTTCTTTAAAAACATACCTGTCATGCCTGTTTGCTTAAAAGGTCAAGTTACATTTCCTGCCTGCAAAAAACATGCCACCTTCTCACTGCCACACAATGGTTGGAAAACAAGAGAATGTTCCTCATATAATATTAACCAACAAAAAACAATAGCCAAGTTACAGCAGAAGAAGATGTACATTATGATATTTTTCTGCACACCATCCATAAAAACCTGTATTATTACACACGTAAAATCATGAATGGATCAAAAAAATCAGAGAACAACTAAAACACTGTTAAAGGCTGCTACAGTGTATGCAATTGAGATCTTAGTAAAAACATCACCGAAGGTATTCAAATGCTTTAAAAGTATCAATAAAGTTTAGAAATTATTTGAAACTGCTTCATTCTTCCCACACGTTTAAGGGCATAAAGTGTAATGTTACCAGATTCAGAACTAAAAAGGAGATTTTTCCCTTAGAGAAAGATTACTGTAATTAAGAGTGTGTTCCAACAGAAAGACGTTACTTTTTGATTTTGACTAATGATAAGTACACTATTTCTTATGGTAGGATATTGGAATAAAATGACAGCAGTGCCCTGTGCACTGTTCTACAGGTTGGGCAATGCAAAATCATCACCCTGATAACTGGAAAAGGGTTCATTTGGGAATACAGCTACGCAATCAGAACATAGGACACTTTTACTCTTGGTAATTTCAGGTTGAAGCAAAATGTGAATGGCTGACTAGGGAAGAAAAAATATCTGTAAGTAATCTAGACCTGGATAAGTTTTTATGCTGACCAAAGAGCTATTTGATTCTGAAATAAAATAGGTGGCTATATAGTTATTTCTTTTCTTCCATTATTGTTAATTAAAGGTGACAACACCACCATATTGGACACTTCAGTGACATGATTTTTTGTAACAGTTAAATCCTAACTTTTGTTATTGGTCAAAACCTTCACTTCAATATTGGAGTGCTTGCTTCTCTTAACATGTATGTTTTTAAATGAGTGTATACCAAAAGGGTTTCTGACTCTGTTTCCTTTATAAAAAGGTCTAAAAAGGCTAACTTCACTTTTATCTACATACAGGTTTAAACATTGCTACCAATAGTAAAAGAACATCATACTTTGCACAGGACACGCCTCCCTTGACCGAAAATGAGTCTTCCCTCATAACGCGCTGCCCCTAGCAGGAATTGTTCAGGTTCATATTGTATCCCATGATGCCTTGCAATTACATATGACAGGAAGTCGCTCTTTAACTATACCCAACCAACAGTGTGAAGTCTGCTTGCTTCGTTCATGTTATAAAAGCGTTTAAATACCAATGTGACTATAACAAGACATCCATATACAACAATGTTGCAATAATTATTTTTAATGCCACATTTTAAAGGAGCTATACGGACGTCCCTCATTCTTATTCCCTAACTCAATAAATGATCATTAGAATTTGCATTCCAGCATCTCCCAGACTGCCTCACTGTGTCAAAAATGATATATTTCACTTTTAACTAGCACATACAAGGCAGCTGAATCCAATCTTAGACCTGGAAAGCAAGCGCTTATTCGAGTCACTTAACACGTGAGGTTTTTCAACAGCAAAGCAAACATGTTACTCTTCAATCTACAGTTCCTCTGCTCGTCTATGACTGGGCATTGCCTTAATACTAACTGGCAACGAAAACATTGATACCCCAACAGTAACATCTGGCAGATTTTAATACACTTGCCCGCTCCCTGTCGGCTTTTTGTGTTTATTGTCAACATGTATTTTGTAATTAAACATATTAATACTCTAGCTGCGAGCTGAAGCAAGTAAGATACTACAGGTGGCTGACCACTGTTGTTGCCATTGGTGTACTCCATAACACACTCCGCTGGCAAAATAAGTGAAAGACAGAGCAATGTGGCAGTCTACAAGACAAACACGAAAGGTGTCACTCGCATCGGAAAACGTGTAAAATGTATATGAATGCATATATGTATAGCATTGACCTACCTGTATGGGTCCAAATCCAAGATGGCGGCTTGCTCAATGTTCAGCTGATTTATCCAGCAATAAGACCAAAATAAACAATTTAATTACACCATACGTGCTAACAGATACTCCTGTTACATTCCAGTAACGAACAGGTTTACATTTCAAAAAGCTCAGCTCACGGTGAGATGCATAAACCTACGCTTGATTGATGAATGTTTATAGATTTGGAAAAAAAAAACACTAGCCGGCTCTCCCAAAGCACTTTGTAAACTCACTGACGTGGTAACGCAGTAGACGTGTAACTGAACATGCTGCTTGGTGAAAGTTATGACGGACGGGGACAAAGACCAATCACAGTAAAGGAATAAAATCCTAGTTATGTTACTAAATTAATTTAAAAGGAATACATAGTTCTACAAAGCAGAAAATCACCAATAAACCTAAACCAGTAGCAAGGACTAAAGAAAATCGAGGAAAAATAATTTAGTCGAAGGAGCTGTCTTTGATTGACATCAATGTTGGCCATTGGCAGACAGTAGCGGAGTTGCGATTAGAGACGCGTCGCAAGTGGGGCGGGCTAAACACATTTAGCATGGTCGGTTGAGATACAGTGATGACGGCAGCAGCGGGGTATCCTTAAGGTCCACATCAAGGCTTTCCTGTAGAACGGAAAAGTAATAACTGTTTCCTGTAGAAGACAAACTCAATTGAAAATATAAAAATAGAGTTTCATCAAAGAAGTGCAGTACATTTTCTTTATTTGTCTATGATGGCAGAATATTTAGAGACAAGGATGGATTTGGGAATTTTTACCAGAACTGAAACTGAAAGTGATTTCTACCTCTTGTACGAATACCATACTTTTTAAATATATTTTTTTTCTAATTTTGTTTCCTGTCTTTAAAGTATAAAAGTACTATTACTTTCTTATGTCAACATGGAGAAAATGTTAATTAACTGGTTTATTCAAGTTAGATTCTGACATGACCACGTTTAATCACCTTTAAGGATGTTACAGATAACTAATTTAAAGAACTAATAATAAGAAGAACTGAAATGAAACTGAACTTTACCAAAATGTTCCTGTAATGAGTGTCCATTTCACTGTCCTAAGGTCTTATATAAAATGAACATGTAAAAAAGTGAAGTCTTGTTTTGCCTTCAAAAGTTTTAATAAGAGGATGTGAACTTAGCTTGGTGCATAATGACTGCCTTGAATGGACCAAGTGACCGACATATTGTCAAATCATAGTGCTGTGTCTACTGGCAATTCTGTACCCTGTTTAAAACCTTATATTTTACTCATACTTGTGCAGTTACAAAATGGTCCTGTTACAATAAAGCAAAACAGTTTTGAAAAACTGTTTTACACCATTACAGATACAAATAAACTTCCAACACAATCTGATAAAGTGAAGCCTTGAAGGGAATCTCAGAAAATCTCTACCAGTCTGCCTTCTCCCTTGCTGAACATGCATCCTGTAAAGAAAGGTCTTGTTCGGTGTCTGGGATTTTTGTTTGCTTTCTTGCAAAGTGTTTGATCACCTGCTACTTGTGTAATTGCAACATTCGATCTTCAAACAATGGCATTCCATCAGGTAATTATTTCTTGTGTGCTTTCTACTTAGTGGGCAGCATTATATCCTGAAATTTGCCAGTAAAATCTGAGATGTGTAGATAAAACACTCATGTTGGGTTTGTGTAGTACTTTACACATATTTGTAAGAGACATCAGTTAAAGAATGATGATAAGACATAATATTCAGTTTATTTATAGTAAAAAAATATCTTCATGACTAAACACATAATCTGCACATTTTAGAAATGCATGCCAACTGTGTATTCAGCAAGTACCTGCTTCTATTCTAAAATTATCTTTTAATGATATTAAAACTTTAACCCATTTGAGTCATTACTTTCTTGTTTCCCAAAGCCTCTTAAAAATGAACAACCCTAATACAATATTTATACAAAATTGAGCATGGGCTAATTTTACACAAAAATACCTAAACCGTAAATGTGAAAATGTACAATAAATACATTGCAAAATGCCCATCGCTCTAGCTAATGTGAAAAATATTTGATTTGTTGTACATTTTGCATTACATCAATATGCATTAGCACTAAAAGTAGAATAAAACAAGATGACTGTCAGAGAAGATGTACAGGTTTTAATGCCTTAGTTGTTGGGATACTAACACTACACTCTGTTACCACATTATTTCACTAGATTAGTTAAACAAATCCCAGGATCACACCAGAATTCACCTATTATTAGAACCTATTTACTGAATCTGTGCTTCTTCAACAAAATAGGCAATTGGCCCTAAACTCCTTTGAGGACTTAAAAAGAATTATACATCCTAAGTGTTTGCATTAGGAGAATTATAGTGCACAGCCATTGTATGCCCTAATGAACTTGGAATTATTGCAAGTAAAAACAAAACAGAGGTTGGTGACTCACCAAAGACAAAAAAAAACATTCCATGATCATACTCGCCCAACTTTTCATTATGCATTGTATTAAAAAACAATAAAGGTGGTGGTTTACACAGTGGCATTGCTGCCTTTGATAGATGAGGCCCTGGGTTCAATTCTGGACCTGGCGTGCTGTCTTTAGGAGTTTGTATGTTCTCCCCCATTCGCATGGGTTTCTTCAGGCGCCACAGTTTCCTTCTACAGCTCAAAAACACACTGGTAAGTTAAATGTTTTTTGGGCAGATTGGCTCTGGTGTGAGTGTGTGTGTCTGCCCTGCAATGGACTGGCATCACACCTACGGTGTACCCCGCCTTCCACCCATTGCTTGCCAAGATAGGCTCTGGTTTCCTTGTGACGCTGAACTGAAAGAAGTGGTTAGAAAATAGAGGATGGAATAATGATGGTTCTACCTATTTTCAGTACATCAACGTAAACCACTTATAAGAACAATTTAAATACTACTTTTGAGGTACAGGAGGAGGGTGCATCGACATCTCTTATTTCAGGCTAATGTACTGAATGGCGTGTCCAACCTTACACACTCCCTGCTGATTATGACCTTGACTTTCTAAACAAAAACAAGGAACTTGCACAGAGGTCATCTTCTGAGTGGTTACCTCATCTACCAAGCGTCACTGAGCTACAGTAGTAACGTCTTGCTAATTCTGATAGTATACTGTATATACCTGTACTATTATTTTGTCTCATAAACTGACTTTGATCCATCCTGCTTAGTGAGTTCTCATTTCCTGAGGTAATCTTGTGAGAGATTGTATTTACTGCATGTTCTGATAACTTAGGTTGTCTCCTTCACACATGTGTCGTAAACAGTGATTAACATACTGCATCATTCTGATGTTAGTTCTGTCATGAGTTTGACATTGCTGCTCCTCTGGTATTCTGAAGCTCATTCCAATGGAGTCCAAAGCTATCACTGCTGTTGTATCACTTCAATAATATACATGTTGTTTATCAATTTTTCAATTAAAGGCATAGATTTTTTAAATCACTTCATTAAGTGGGTATTGTAGATGACACATGTCAACATCATAGGCTGTTTTTGTGAAGAAAAAGTAATTTGTGTGTTTGATATAAATGAAACTTTAATGGAATCTGCATAACTTCATGTAGGTTTATTAGAATACTTTAAAATGTTTTTTAGAAATAAAAAAATATATTTTTGAACTGTTTTTTTTTTCAATTTAATTAATATACTTTAGTTTGTGCTTAAAACAGTGGTGCCATGAATAACTCCCCAACATTCTCTGAATGCTTGTTTTCATATTTCTTTAATTGAGGACCACATAGAACTGATGACTTTTTTTGGACTCCTTTTGAATTTATTTAAATTGAAACAAATTGAAAGAAAAACACGTCTTTGAGACCATATCCCTGTCCTGGATCAGTGGAATCCTGCTTGTGATGTGCCCACTGTGTACTGAGTTTATCCTTTTTAGTTGTGAGTTTGCAACACACATGTTCTAATTTTCTGGGCATTTATTTTACATGACTTACAAAATGCCGTCACTACAATGTATATATATATATTAAAATATGTTGGTGTGTCCAGTTGTCCAGAAAAGAGCTGCACACTGGCATTTCCTATTTTCTTCCTTGGAGCAATACATGGATCATCATCCACTGAATGATTCTGCTTTTGAAACCCCATTAGGAGAAAAACACATGGTCTTAAAGTGGAGGTTTTTTCATAAATTCCTCACAAGTATATATTCCTAGTTTGAATAGTACTGCGTAAGTCAAGACACTGTGAAATGGTTTTATTGAAACAGCCATGGATCAGCTGGAAGGAACACTTTACTTTTCATAATATGGTCTGACACATTAAAAAAAGGTTATACCAACATATTTGATTATATCCATGATATATTTTAATCATAATAAACTTTATTTTATATAGTGCCTTTAAAAGTGGCTTCTGAAAGCGCTTATATATTTAGTTTTTAAATGAAAACTATATATTTTTGTGCATGAATACAAAAACATCAAACAAACTAACATTAGAAATACAAGAAATATTAGAAATAAGAATAATACAACAATAAAAACTTAGAATCATCAAACAGAGCTGTATAAAAGTGTATAAAAGCTGTATAAAAGCTGAATTTAAAGTATCTTAATTCATTAACAACAAACTCCTATGCCATAGTTTACTTACATATTTTTCTTAAACTTACATAATGCAAGAAAACATTAACCTTACTGAAGGGAATTCCAGGATCAGGGAGCAAAAAAACGAAATGCTTTTAGTACTTTTCTCTGGATCTGTAACATTGAGTGATATCTTGATTGACAAGTATAAGTGATTAATGCAGTTTTAAGTAATATAAATGGAAGACTTCCACAGAGAACTTTATACACAAAAGTATACCTGTTCTTCAGTCTACCTGATTAAAAAGTAGTCCATCCTACTTGCGTAAACAGTTTACAGTGATTTGTGTGATTTTTTTAATTTGTTATAAATTCTAGTGATGCAAGAGTGTCCAAAATCCTCATATGTGTTAGAATCCTTGGTTATATTACCTGGCTTTGGTTTAAAGAGATGAAGAAAGAACAATACTGCTCCTGCGTATGCCTTCTTGCTTGCAAACCTTTGGCCTGTAAGGACTAAATGTGAGGTTAGAACAAGAATACAATGCTACCATACAACATTCAAGGTTGTTTGACTGTTCATTCGCACATGGCAGAGCTATTTTGGGCTGGAGCCATATGTGAACCCATTCTTCAAATGTGATAAAGTTTTCTGTACTTCCTAATTTCAAAATGAGATTATGTTTATTGCAAGCCATTTCAATCATATGGTCAACACCATTTGTTTTCCATCCAATTGTTGGCATCTTCCAATTCAGGTAAAAGGAGCCTATCCCAGCAAGCAATGGGTGAAGACAGGATACACCCTGGGCAGACCTCTTGTCCATTGCAGGGCAGACAACCAGAAACACAGACATGTCCACATTCAAACCAGGGCCATTATTCCCAAAAGCCAATGAACCTACCAGAATGTTTGTGGACTGTGGCAGGAAACTGGAGCACCTGGAGCAAACCCACACAAACATGGGTTGAACAATCTCCAAGCAGATAGCACTCCAAGTCCAGAACTGAACCCAGAGACCCAGCACAAGGCTGCAATTCTAATCAATGGTTTTTCTACCCTCAAAATGCATGTGGTGCATAACTAAAATCATATTTAAACCTAATTAAAAAAATAGTTCTCTGTGTTCATGAAAATTTCTATTCCACTTTTTATTCTATCAAACTGCTATTCAGTTGTCTGAAGCATATGCCAATAATTAAAATGTAAATGAACTACATCATTAGATATACTTTCCAAGCTTATTAGCCACAATTATTTTATGAAACCAGGAGATCATGTTTTTTACTAAAAACTGTCAGCATCCATAGAGAAAACATCAAATATCTATATGTGTTCTGTCACCATAAATTGACAAGGATGACTTCTAACATTTTCCTTGAACAACTCCAAAACAATTAGTACATTCACAACACCCATTTCTGTCTGCTTGAGTCATTCCAGTCTGGGCTTTAATCCTACCACGATAACCTCCTGCTCAGGAGTTGCCTTCATTTTCATTGAGAAACAAGGTGTTGTATATACTAATGTCAAAATAGGCAATAACTTTGCTAAAATGCTTATGTATGGACATTTCTTAGTTAACATAAATTGAGCATCCACACAGTAGTATTTTCTTATTTACTATACTAATAATCTAAATTGTGCAAACCACTGTTTGTCAGAAACTACATTTTGTAAGTATGTTACATACCCAAAAACACATTTAAAAATTTGCTATGTACACAGTGGATGGCAGCACGGTAGAGTGGCAATTAGCACTGTTGCTTCATAGATCTTGAGTCCTGGGTTGGAGTTTGAGCTACAGAACCTTGTGTGTGAAGTTTCCATGCTCTCTCTGTGTTTGCATGGGTTTTCAAGTGATGTGCTTTCCTTCCACTTTTCAAAGACAGACTGGTTAGGTTAACTGGTACCTCAAAATTCTCTGTGTGTGTATGTGTATTACAGCTATCCAGGGTGTAGTCCAGCCTTGTGATCTTTTCCGACCCATACCAGGATTAAATGGCTTTCTGACAATGGATGTATGTAAACAGTGCTATTTCCCTGGTGCCCCTTAGTTACACACAACAACAATGAGCACGTGAAAATACTACAAGTTCCTCCGCAAGTCAGACATGTAGATGGAGGGATCTCATTAAGTCAACTAGGACATAGTAGTGACACAAGGCAGGAGGCAGCAGTAGGTAGGACCCTGTGCGTGGCTTACTCTGGTGGAGTCAGGTTGGGAGGTGGATTGAGTTCCACAGTATGGTGCCAAACGAGAGATGAAGTCGTGGTCTTAAACGAAAGCGAGGAGTCAAAGCCAGTAGGGTTCCGAATCGAAGAAGTACCAAAAACGAGAGGCGAAGTCGTGGTCCAAAGGAGTGCTGAATCGGTAGCCAAAAAGCTACAGTAGTAAGAGACGATTGGAGAGACTAGAAACTCGTTCTGGACCTCAATAGTGAGCGAGGTGGAAGAGGAGAGTGGGGGTTTAAATAGCGCGTGGTGTTAACTGTTGCCTTGATGTTTAGAGTGAACAGAGCTCGTGGGAAAGCGGGAGCGCTTGCACGCTTGAGTGCGGGTCGTGCCAAGTAGCTGATGAATTTTGGAGAAAGATGGACCGTGAAGGGACCAGCAAAAGAGAGGATGAGATAAGCAAACTCCTAGCTGAGAAGACAGACTGTTTGAAAAATAAAGCAGTAATTCCTGCACCGACTCAAACGCCTCTCTTTCACCTGCTGCTGCTTTGGCAGAGATTGCAATCCAGAGTGAGACAAATCAGTCCAAAATGATACTCTACTATGCAGAGATAACTCTACAGTAGTTTTTACCATTGTCTATTGAGATAGACTGATTGCAATGAAAATGACTACAGAAGGAAGAGTCAGTTATGTGCACTCTCAATCTCACTTTTCTGGACACTTCACTCAAAGTGCTTTACAGTTAATGTCCCCCACCACCACCACCAATGTGCAGCCCCACTTGGATGATGCAACAGCAGCCATAGTGCACCAGTATGCTCACCTCACATCAGCTATCAGTGGGGAGGAGAACAGAGTAATGAAGCCAATTCATAGATGGGGATTATTAGGAGGCCATGATTGGTAAAGGCCAATGGGAAATTCGGCCACATCCCAGGTTAACATCCCTACTCTTTTCAAGGAACACCCTGGGGTTTGTAATGACCCCCAGAGAGTCAGGACCTCTGTTTTACATCTCATCCAAAGGAAGGCACCTTTTTACAGTATAATGTCCCCTTCTTTATACTGAGGCATTAGGACCCGCACAGACCGCAAGGTGAGTGCCCCCTACTGGCCCACTGACACCTCTTCCAGTAACAACCTTAGCTTTCCCATGTCTCCCATTCAGGTACTGGCCGGGCTCACACCTGCTGAGCTTCAGTAGGCTACCAGTCGCAAGTTGCAGGGTGATATGGCTGCTGGTGTAAGAAACTTGTCAAAAATGGGATACGAACCCACGTCAATCATTCAAAATGCACTTTGGAAAGAGAAAATTGTGGAAGTGAAAAGTGTTACTGGAGCAAATGGGGACCAAATTAAGAGATCTGAATATTTTATTTTTGTTTCCAAGTGAAAAATAAAAAAACAATACACAATTCTCAATTAAATTCCTTTACTACATAGCTTCATGTTTTAAGTATTATGTTTCTAGCTTTTTCTACTGACCTCTGCACTCCTGCTAGATGGAAGGAGTATCGTGAACACATAATATTGTATTGTAGGTTCAGCTACTTCAGTGAGGTGTGACAAGGGCAGCTCTGCATTCCTGAGGATTCATCAAGTCTTGAAGGGACCTCTGCTTCATTGCAATGAAGTATCTTTACAGGCTGTACACTCACAAGGAGTGGAGATTACTCCTGAAAGAAAAGGCCAGACCTTTTTCTACAGATTTCAACTCTAGGTTCCAAGGAAGTAATGTCACATTTTATTGTTGCATCATGATAGTTACCACCTTTTACAAAAGAATACCTGACAAATTGATAACAAGCCCACAGTGACGCTTGCGATAACAGTGACTCTGATTTACAAAATAAATGAATTATTTTTTTTGTGCCCGACAGCATATCAGGCAAGGCTATGAAAAACGATGTCACCATCCTACTCGTGGTGGAAATATATCTTTGCTAAGCTGCGACATATTTGGTTTCGTGACTAAAAATTAAAATAAGTCAGAAATTAGCGTAAAATAATAATCTATTTTTAAATTACAGTATATCTTTTGAAAACCTTTTCGTATTATTAGACTGCTGCTAATATCGCCGTTAAAAATCTATTAATTCCATTAGTAATTATAAGGAGAAACGAAAACAAGAGTCATATTGTATCCCAAGAAGGATACAATATGATCTATTGCACAGGTTAAACACTGGCTTGCGCGAGTAACGGGAACGTGTGTGATATGTGTTGTGGTTTGAAAATATGTTCGAGATTCAATTAATTTACTTTGGCCTCAAAAGAAAACGCACCGGGCCAATAAAATCCAGTGAAGAAACAACACATTATTCAAGAGAATCGGTAGAGCACACGGTCTAACATTAGTAAATGTTAGCAAGAAAAGCTATGAAAGGAGAGTGAGTCGAGTGTCAGAGAGGCGGCGATATAGCACTGGGTGTGTGGGTGAGTAGAAGCGGCTAAGTGGGCAGTCCTTTTCAGCGGCTGACCTGCCGCACAAGATATTTAGCATAAAGTCAGTCCCCCGCTGCATGGGAACCTCTTGAGCTCTCCCTCTCCGACTCTCTTCATGTCAGACCAGAGTGATCCGGGGAAACTGCCGTTTTTTTCAAGCCGAAGGAACTTTCTATCTGACAGCTACATCCATCTAGGACAACATTAATCCTCTACAAACTTATCTTATCCAGGGATTAATCTCACCAAGCTGGGACTTAATGTAAGTGATTGCCAACACCAATTTAAGTTTTTTTTAAATGTTGTATCTTATTTGCTTTGTGTTAAAGTAAACTAGAGAAAATGAAAAGCATATTTATCTGACAATTTTTAAAACAGTGGCTAATAAAGTCTTTAACCAGTCAACTTAGACTTGTGTTAACGCGACGTAAATCGTGATGTATTGTAAAAATGCAAATGCTTAAAACTTATGCTAAGCAGCATTTTTTTCATCGTACTCGAAGCGTTCGTTTTACAACGCTTTTTTACGGTCAGTGTCGACGGAAGCAGAAAATGAGAGACAAGCACGTAAAGGGACAGACGTATACAAATACAAAGGTGATGCTGCAGAAACCAACAAAGCTGCGGCATTTGTGAAAGCTTATTAGCTGGATAATTTAAACACGAGACAAAGATAATTTCCCCCGTAGTGAAGCCATAACAGCAATGCACTTCGGATGTGCTCGCTTTGCCAGAAACACGCAGTCTACAGAAAGAAAATGAACATTGTTCATCTTCAGTTTAGATGACAAAAACTAAAATATACTGTTTTCTGTATGTGTTACTGTGTGATGATACTGCTCGTTTATGTCAGCAGATTAAAACGGGGCTATAATGGATTTATCAATGCGCTCTGTGATTTCGTGTACTGTATAATTAACCTAATGCTTTTAAAGAGCAGTTTAGGACAGTTCAGAACAGCAAGGGTTTGAGTTTCTTCACAATTGATATGTTTTGACGGCAAAATAAGCAGAGGTACTAACAAGAATATACATAAAACCTAATACATGTTACATTATAATAAATTCTGATAAATATCATTGTTTCGCTTGTATGGTCCACGTACCAAAGTGAATCATTTGACAGTTAGGTAATGCTCACTTTGGCTTTGAGACGCCAGTTTTACTCACTGGACCTGTCATAGAGGAAATATGTCCAACATAAGCCTGTAGATCCATGCAGTGTGTCCAGAAATATACATATTATGACATAAATTCGCCTTTTTGCTTTTTCAAATACCAACCTCAGTCAGGAAACCAATAAAATATTTGTTCTTTGACTTCCTTTCAATCCAAGTTATGCGCATTCAGTATATCATTCACTGGTACTTCTTAATATCAGTCTTATCTACGAACCTTTTCATTCAGGCGTGAAGGTACAATAGAGTAGGCCTACACGTTTAGAAATATATTTTGGGTGTGTACAGTATGTACAGCACAGTAAAAAAACGTAAATTTACGATCCTGTTTAAAAAAAATAATTTGAAATATAATAAAACAAATATCTAAGGTTTTAAGAAACTTGCTTTATAATAATATAGTGTAAATATGTACTTTCAAACATTTTAATTTTCACGGTTATATAGGCTCCACGAAGGTTTCTTCTTTATAAGTAAGGGCTGGATGTTTAAAGGAGATATGATCTTTTTCGACAGAGGATATTTAAAGCAGTCACATGTGCAGTGTGATGTGCAGTGTTACTCCGTAATGTGTCATATCTTGCTCATAAATTGTGTGTTATGAGAAAGTGAATACAAACAATATTTTAGAGGTCAATCTTCAGGGAACCCGCTCTGTCTAAAATTGATAGCTGGCAGGTGGTCGCAAGAGACCACAAGAGACTTATGCATGAAAAAGAACCCCCCCTCCCCCCGTATACACACACCTCCAAGAAAAAAGATGAAAAACTATGCGTAGGTTTCAGGCAATTAAGTTGGCCTACTAAGTTTTAAATTGTCTGACATTACTAAAAACGTATTTACTATTCCGAATCACTTAATAAGATAAATCTACTTAAAGTACTTCCGGAATTAACACTACATCAAAAGTAATCACAATTCGTGCATCATTTATTTTAATTTGTAAAATGTAGAATACAATAAACTGTCGCTGTCTGTGCTACTATTTCCTATGCTGCTATTTGAAACAAAAACGGACTGCTTATTTACATTATTGTGGCGGACAGTAGGGTGTTTATTGCTAGAATGTAAGTGAACTTTTGTTTTAAAGGGTAGCAAGATATATTAACACAAACATATTCACTAGATTGTATAATTAAGAGTATTATATGTATTTCACATTAATTCCTGTCTTATTGGTAACAAAATAAAAAAATAAAAAAGTTAAATTTGCAAACATTTCCAAAAAAATAGATATGTTTTGGAAAAGCTGCTCTTTTATAAGTGCTGACCTGCCAGTTCAAAGGTGTTAAAAACCAGGCTTGCTAGCGGACGGCTAATGATTACCCGAAGAATCTATCAAGAAGGAAATTATTCGCTTTCGTGGAACTGCTGAGTTTTTCATCGTTAATATAGGAAAGCTAGTGATGCATTGATATAATTCTTATTATTAATAGCAATATTTAGTTTTAATTTTATAGACTGTTTTTAAAGGACGAAGAGCTCCTCAAAATAGTATGAGTGTTCAATAGATTGAAACAAGTTTAGTGAGTTTTGTAAAGTAACCCGTGTACCGAAATTACATTTTAGATCAAACCTAGAGAGAACAAGAACAAAACGAAGTCTAGTTAGGTTGGTGCATTGTAATATGTAATGGACGGCTTCCAAATATAGCCTCTTATGTCAAAATAGCTATATATAACTACATTTTTCAGTGTTCTGATGTCGGGGTATATTGTATTTGTAGTTAAGTTAAATCATAAAGTTAATTAAAAAAATCAATTTTATTATTTCTACATTGAAGTATTTTTTATATGAATAAACCCCCATATCATTTTTTTCAAACCACAAATCTGCGTGCCAGATTTAAGGAATAAGCAATGGATAAATTTTGACAGCATGCATCTTTTCCTTAATGTCCTGTTTTAGATTTGTATTTGTGTAACAATCTAGCCTAATTTGCATTACTAAGGAATGTATTGGCTTTATGGAAAGCATTGCAAATTAGTAAATTACGATGACAAAAGAAGTAGAAAGGCTTTTTTTATTACTTTGATTACTATTATAACTAAGCTTTTATCCGTATTAACCGAGGACGCCAAAACGTTTTACTGTAATAAATACGTGGGGCTGCATGTTCCTTGAGCTAACGCATACTTTATTTTAAAATTTTCAAATATTGATCCATTAGCCGGTCATCCGTGTCCTTCCTCTGAGCAAAGATCCGTGTTCTTTACTGAAGCCACAAATGTTTATCACTCAACATACAACCTCATTGGTCCGAAAAGTGTATTTTGCACGCGATGTAACCCCCCCTTCCAATTTGCGAGTTTGCGACGAGTCAAGTGTCATGACTATTATGATAACGTTCAGTTGCTCAGCTTTTCTGAGGGTCAGTGAAGTCACATGAAGAGGTCTCTTTGCAATCCCCTGTGCATTAAAAATATGACCTATTCCCAAACACATTTTACTCGTTCATATCCATGTTTCCAGGTAGAGTATAGATTAAAAACTTGTTCCTATTGTCTCAGCAATTTTCAGATTTATTTTGCACTGCCCCAATTAATATTATATCCACTCAAACAACACTAAGTTAATAACCAAGCTATTTTTTTACAATTTTCTGGTGTTTGAGAATATGTTCAAGAATGAAACGATCATTGCTAGTTTAAAGGTTGGTTCAGGGTTTGTTTTTTTTTTTTGTTTCGATCAGTCATTCAAATCAGTCCAGGTATCTGTTCTAAGCCTTTTAAAATCGGATTCTGAGAAATCTCTTGTAAGATAAAAACACCCACTTTACTTGATTTTTGACCACGTTATATGTTCTTATCATTTCAGTTGTGTCTTAACCTTTATTAAAATCACATCCTAAATCTTATCCAAAACATGTATTTCATATATATTGCACAAGCGATTCACCAGGATTTGTTTTACATTCTGTGAGGTTATTCACGCTGTTTTCAATGCCACCTCACGCTGCAGCTACAAACAGCAATAAACCCTTCAATTCAAGCGCTGAATATTAATATGTTCCCAGCAGATTGGATAATAATGTGACTGGGAATTAAATGAAGCTTTTTATTACTCTCACTGCTGTTCGCTGAGAGAAGGGGTTCGTTTAAGGAGGAAGAATAAATAAAGTCATCGACTGTCAGAAAAGCAGAAAAGGAGACATTGCAGTCTCTGGGTCGATAACAGTTTAATTTATGTGGAAACCCATCGCTAGGCTAATTAGCTCCTAGCTATATTATTTAGATTTAATAAATGCATTTTAATATTTTCTGAGTAAAACAAAAAACAGGCTACGTATACCTGCCTCGTATGTGTTATGTTCCAGAATATTAGGGGTGTAGGCCTGTAACTAATCTTAATAAGATAAACATAGAACTGACATATTGATCTTATCGAGTATGCGTTTAGTAGGTTACTCGGTGTCATTGTTGCATTGAGCGAAGATAATCTATTGACAGGTAAGATATTAGCTGGATCAGCGTATTTCCAGAATACTTAATACATTTTAACAGCAAAAGTCGTTATTGTTTATCTTCAAGTTATTTGAATGGTCATGCTTGTTCATAGTCTCCAGGTAAAAATCGTTTACAGAGGTTTGTCTGCAAATCTAAAAATTATTTGGTGCGTCATTGGTAACAATTTACCAGATCACCGTTATTAGGATTCGTTGTTTTTTCGCCGATTAAATCTTTAACTTAATATGTTAGTACAAAATAGAAAGTATCTTTTTATTTACAGCAGGTGTGTAATTCGTATCTACCCTGTTCCATTGTACATTTGTTTATTGCAGTTTACGTCAGCGCTTAATGTTAAAATAGAGGGGTAAATATTACATTATAAAGATTAATTTAATAAATTAAATTACTAGGATTCATCCTAATGTCGTGGTTTTGTGCAAATGCTATATATATAGAAAAATATTTTAAGCCTTGTACACACCTTTTTAAAAAGGTTTGATCATTAATGATTTAATAACTGATAAAAAAAACAATTTTCATTTGCTATTTGCAATAGATTTTCGTTTAAAGTTTATTAAAACTTGGCAAATATTATGACGCAATTTCAACGATAAAAAGAAACCGTAATAGACCAAT